TCACCAAAAGTTTTTAATGCAAAATTATTGATGTGAAACTTCAATCAATATTTATATTTCGAATCTGTAAGATTAATACTTTTAATATTACACTCAGACAAAAATATGATTCAGGCGAATATCTTACAGACTGGAGAGAATAATATTTTATCTCTTTCTATCTAGTTGTGTTCTTACATCTATCGCTTATACTCTAAGGGATAAACCCGAGCGAAGTGGAGGTGAGTCGCTAGTTAAAAAATATTTTGCATATTTGAAAACAAATTGGAAAAATAGTAATATTTGCAGACAGCAACGGAAATAATATCATATACCTATATCATTTTTCAGACAATAACAAACGGTTTCTATGGCAACCTAATGCATCGATTACTATGGCAACCATGACGGATTTTCGTCGCGCGACCTTAAAATTTTACTCTCATCGCAAAGAAATTTCACCTCAAAAACTATCTACTGTAAAGTACAGCGAGTATTGGTCCTTTAAACAAATAAGCACTAGTATTTTTCTAGCCTTGTTTTATACTATTGAAAATCAGCTATAAGAGAAAAGCTATAGATAACAATTGCGATGTTATTCTAATCAACGTTACTCTTAGAACTAGAACAATATCGAAACTACTAACAATACAAATCCTCCTAACAATGGTCGTATGGTCGGAAAATTTTAACAAGAATGTAAGACAAAGTGCTTGCTTAGAATGTCAGTATGATTTTTAGGGTTCCATATATCTCACAACCGTAAGTGAAGTGGTTATTGTTTTTATTATTATTGTTATTGTTGTTATTATGGTAATTATATTGGAATTGAATCGCACATGAAAATATTAGAGGAGAGACCTGAGATTTTAACTTGCTGCACTTGATTTCCCAATTTCCCAAGCGAGCGTGATACGACTTGGCCTGTACCACTGTCTTGAACCAATGGCAATACATAAAATAATGTGGAAACCTTAATAACTGACAAAACCCAAAAAAAATTCGAATGACATGTGAAATCCGCCCGGACATAGCCAGCGTGGTGGACTATGACCTAATCCCCCTAATATTGAGAGAATTAAGGAAAGCCCGTGCCCTGCAGTGCACAAGTAAGCATCAAGACCGATAAGAGAACAGGCCTAAGACCTCTCAGAGGCACGGATGTGAATCATTACCAACTTCTCAACTTTCTTAACTTCAATTTTTCTTTACAGAACAACTCGATAACTTAGCCCTAAAAAGTAACCCAGGACCCCTGGATCTGCAGACTATATGCTAATCACTAGACCAACGAGACAGTCGACACAAATTAAACTACTAGATATAAAGGGCTGGTATTTTGACAGCTTATTCCATTAAGAAAAACTTCTTGTCTTTTAAATACACCCTTAAATATGGGATGGCAAAGTATTATATTTTGTATTGAATGCCAAATAAAAACACAATCAAAATACCCGTAGTACTTTGTATAGTCGCAATCTATACATATAAAAAAAACTGAGCCGAATCATTTTTTGGAAAATCTTATTAAAATAGTCATTGTTATCGATACAGAGTTAGTTTTATTAGTTAGTTTTTAGATTTTTTGTCTATCTGTCTGGAAACGCATCACGAGAAAATCACTGGACAGATTTTGATGAAATGTTGTATATATAGCTGATTATTCGGGTTAACATATACTCGTAGGATACTTGTTACTGCGAGAAAATATCTCATCTCTGAGAAATCTATACTAAACGTGAAAACGTAATAAAATGTCGCTAGTATCTAATACATCTGACATATTATGATGTAAATAAATGAACTCTTATAAAACTTAATTGGAAGCTTTTCAGAAGAATGTTTTGTCATGTACATAATATAATATGTATTATATTCAAAGCTCGCTGTGAGGAATAAAAGATAACTATACAAGTAAATAAAATGGAAGTGTCTGTTTGTAATGTCAAAATAACAGCTTTTTACTAAACAAATGGATGTATACACGGTACATTTACCAAAACAACATTTTTTATAATTTTTGTCTGTTTGTCTGTCTGTCTGTCTGTCTGTTTATTCCGACTAATCTCTGAAATGGCTGTACCGATTTTGACGGGACTTTCACTGGCAGGTAGCTGATCTAATAATGAGTAACTTAGGCTACTTTTATTTTAGAAAAAAAATAGGGTCGCACGAAAAAAATTAAAACCAATGAAAAATTTAATAATATCCGATTCAAATAGGGAAGTTGTATACATGCCCGAGGGAGTTAAAGATGAGCGAAGCGAGGGTGAGTCGCTAGTTTTATAATATTACAATATTATAGATGGAAAACTTTTTTAGACAATGTATATACTGTATGGGCAAGTCTGTTAGTTCTTCACGCCGGAACGGTTTTACTTATCTGTGTGAAACTCCGAATTTAGCATACAAGTACAAATAAGCTTTTATTTACTTACCTACCACACAAGCGAAGCGGAAGGGATATACAAGTATAATTATAAATTGTACAGTACACATATGTAAGTTTGGCTCTGTTTGTAGTGACTCTACTTGCTGTGCCAGCGGTCGCGGGTTAAGTCCCGTTGGGGGTATTCATTTGTGTGATGAACACGGATGTTTTTACTCCAGTCATGGGTGTTCATATTTATAATATGTATGTATTTTTTCCCCAGGGAACTAAAAATCAAAATAAATCCGCGAAATAATCCGAAAAGATAGTTTTATTTAAAATGTCAAATATTCGCGTTAATCTAAGAAAGTAATATGTATGTATTTAAAGTTATATATGTGTAGTGTCTCAACAATCCGGTATCCATAACACAAGCCTCGTAGCTTACAATAGAACTAAAATAGTGTTGTGTGTTAATGTCCCAACATATTTATTATTTCTTATATTATTTGAAACTTAGATTATTTTGAAAGAGACAATAGTAAAGGGTAAAGTGACTATTCACAAAGGTAGTGAAACTTGTTCCCAAACTATTATGAAAAGTTCGGATTGAAAGTGAAATAAAACGCTTCCGGTATTCAATTTAAACTTCTAAAATTTAGTGATTTTGTTTCTTTTTTACACACAACGATATGAAAACGATAAGGTGATAACTGATAAAAATGTATAATTAATCACACTGCTTATTATTATAATTGCGAAAATTTGTATGTGTATATTTGTTTCTGCTTTACGCGGAAACGACTAGAAAGATTTTGATGAAATTTAGTACACAGATAGTCTATAGTTTTTAGAATTTTTGTCTACCTGTCTCTCTGGGAACGCATCATGGAAAAACCACTGGAGGGATTTTAATTAAATTTGATATGATGATAGCTGGTTATCCGGATCAACATATAGGATACTTTTTACTGCGGAAAAAAATATCTCATCTCTAAGAAATTTATACTAAACGTTAAAAAGTAAGTAGAGACGAACCAGAGTGGAGCGAGGATGAGATGCTAGTATCTCAATAATCGTGCCCGTCACGTGGCATCAAAATGTTAGGAATCATTCGTATCGACTTTAACACTATCCCCGTCGAGCCGCCGCGAAAAATCAACTGTTCCCGACAAAACTTTGATTACTTCCAACCCTAAGCGTTTTTGTTTCTATTATGTACTGAATTACTTTTAGAAGTAATACAATTAGTTTCACTCTCTTTCGTTTGTTTGGTTCAGATACTAGCGACGGTATTTGACTTTGTCTTGAATAAGACAACTTAGATTTTTAACCCCCAACGCAAAAAAAGGAGTCATTTTAACGTGGGTATCTCAATGTATTTTTGTGTGGCATCGTAACGCCCAAATGAACCGACTTTTTAGTTTTTTTTTTATTTGAAAGGTAAATTGATCGAAATTATTCTATATATAAATCAAGAAAATCCGTTTAGCCGTTTGGAAAATGGATATGAACAACTTTCACAGATCTATTCGATTCGAAACTTAGCATCCCGTTATTTCAACAGCATTGCAATTATATGGTAACCCAGGCTTCATGCTGCAGCGTCACCTGGAATCTATAAGATACCCAACTCTTTACTAAAATACTGCTGAGATATATTATTTAAATAACCTCAATAAACAAGTGTTTTCATTTTTTTAATTTAAGAATTTAGTATTTATTAGTTACTCTATAAATTTCACCCAACTCAGGTCCCGAACCCAGTACCAGATCTACTTTGTACTTCTACGTGCTAATCACTAGACCACCGAGGCAGTTATATTTTTGATTTTGGAATCTTTGCTATATTGTAATACTAAAATATCTTTTTAACCAACTTCCAAAAGGGAGGAGGTTATCAATTCGTCGGTTTTTTTATGTATGTTCACCGATTACTCGAAGACGCCTGAACCGATTTGGAATTTTTTTTTCAAAGGTGTAGCCGACAATATTTTAAGATATGAATATCTAATAGGTTAATATGTAGTAATACAAATCGAAATATATTAGATTTGCTTTGCATCAGCTGGCACCGACTTCGAAAAAATCTGATTAGGTATCTATTTTAAATGAAAACCCCGTTTAGTTATTACATTTAAGATTGCCTGGAAATCGTTTTTTTTTTAAGTTTTTATTTGCTTTACCTTCATATAACATCGGACCATCGTCACTGAAGAAGGAACCACCAATAAACAGGATCGATGTAATGTATTGAATAGAAATACTTTATAAAGCGTGGTATACGTATGTATGCTATTTTTGATTGTAATAATAATAATATACTCATATCTAGTACTGCGAGTGTAGTTATATAGAAAAAATAGTATCTTTTAGGTGAATATTAAGGGCTGATCCACGCTATAGTGCCGTTCACAGTCAATTCTCTGTCCGATATCTACCAGACGTAAAGTATTTTTTACAAGGAACATTGCTGAAGAGTATTCGACCGGAACTTGAGTCTTACTGATAGTGTGAATGCACTCATTTTTATACAAATTTTACTTATTTGAATAGATAAAAATACTCTAACAGACAGATATCGGAACGAGAACGAACCGTAATCGGCACTATAATATATATCGTGCCAAAGAGGTCTCGAGTGTTGGATATGTTCCGGAGTCCGGACGGGAAGGGTAAGCAACGACTTAGTGAAAATTGAAAATATATAGATAGATAATACCTTCTTTTTTTTGATACAACGACATCTAGTTTCTCGAATCCATATTTAATATTATAAATATGTAACTAACTTCGTCGGCTACCTCTTTAAGTTTAAACCGCTGAACAAATTTCGATAAAATTTGGCATGGACATAAATTGCATTATTGGGATAGACATAGGTTCACACCTTTGATCTAAGCCCCACTTACCGCGACTGAAGCCGAGGGCAAAACTAGTCTTAAGTTATATGGGACAGTGATCAGTACCACTCTAAGTACACTACAGTATAATTGTGTCAGGTGACACTCAAATATTAAATTATTGTTTTTGAAGTTATACTTCTTTTGGGACGTTTGGAAACAAATATGAGAGTAAAATTTTTACGATGCGCGCGCACATCGACAGCCGGAAAGCGACATGATGAAGTTAGCTGCATTCCTCTTACAGAGTTGTGACATACGGAATGAAAACTTTAGCTGTTTTGTTTTGTTGTTACGCCAAAGAAGTATAACTTCTTACGTGCGTACATAAATACACACACACGATTTTTTTTTTATTTATATAGTGTGCATAACATTACCTCCATCTTACGTTATACTCGTATTATGTAAAATAATAAATACTTTATATTATATAATATATTTTTAACAATATATTTTTAACACTGCCATCTATTAAGTTATGTAAGAACTTCGTTGGCATTTACTTTTGTGCTAGTTCTATAGGAAATCGCGTGTTTTGATAAAAACCTTTTGCAAAATATTTCGTAACTCCCTCTATAAATTAAAAATATTGACTTATTAGAAAATTGAAATAAAGTTTATCTCGTAAAAATCTTATAATTAAAATTAAATATTATTTATTCGTGTCAACGTAATGTTTTTTAAACATTTTTCGTAGTTTATTTTAATAACAACTAATGACATCTAGCGACAAAATAAAAAAAGCATATGTTACAACTAACATTCACTCACGTGTTTGCTTGCATGTGATAGCTATACAATAAAAATATTTAAACTGATTTCAAATGAAATTATTGTAAAACCAAATGAAACTAACGAATTTTTTTAACCAACTCTTGAGCCATTGAGTTGCACCTTTCATATCCTGGCTCCATCAGATCAGCTCGATGGTATCAATTTTTAAAAACAAAAAAATATAATACAGTACGATACTAAGATAAAAAAATCTATACATATAATAAAATTGTAACTAAGCCGAATCTGTGCATTAAATATTTTTGGGAAAATCTTATTGAAATAAACTTATTATCGATACACAGGCGAATCTATAGTTTTTTGAATTTTTGTCTGTCTGTCTGTTACCGCATCACGAAAAAACCACTAAATGAAATTTTGTATGATGATAGCTAATTATCCGGGTCATCTTATCGGATACTTTTTATTACGGGAAAATATGTCATTTCTGAGAAATCTATACTAAACCTTAAAACGTAAATAGGGAACCCGAACACGAACCCGAGCGGAGCGAGGGTAAGTCGCTAGTATATAATAAAATAAAAAACCCGACTGCATAAAAGCTAACTAAAAAGATGAAAACAAGTTGATGAAGGAATATAGTATTATGCAGTCGGAGACATCACGTTTCATTCTTGTGGCAAGATGTACATTGTACAGTGTACTTATGTATGATATAGTCTATACTAATATTATAAAGAGGTAAAGTTTGTGAGTTTGTGACGTTGTACGTGACGGGGGTAATCTCTAGATCTACTGGACCGATTTAAATGAAATTTGGTAAGAAGATAGTTTGAGACCCTGGAAAGGACATAGGATACTTTTTATCTCGGAACTCATCCCTAAAGGGGGTGAAAATAGGGATGGAAGTTTGTAAATGGAATCAAGCTAGGGACGAACCCGAGCGAAGCAAGGGTGTGTCGCTAGCAAAGAGGTAAAAATTGTGAGTTTGTGACGTTGTAGGGAGTAATCTCTGGATCTACTGAATCAATTTAAATGAAATTTGGTAAGAAAATAGTTTGTGACCCTGGGAAGGATACTTTTTTCCCGGAAATCATCCATTAAGGGGATGAAAATTTGTATGAGAAATCAAGCTAGGGACGAACCCAAGCGAAGCGAGGGTGAGTCGCTAGTACATAATATAATCGATTCGTGATGTAAATTTAATTCATAAACTTTATTGTAGTTAAGTGTGTACTTTTGTTTCAGTAGATATTAATTGATATTGTATTATAATTTAATGAATCATTAATTTATTGATGTGACTTTTTGATCGAATACTAGCATAATTTAGTCATTATCAAATTGACATATTTATATTAAATTTTTGACCCTTTATGATTTTTAGAATTTGAATAATTAATTACTCAATCTAATTTTAATTTTAACTAATATTTCTGCTAAGTATGATAATATTAACATTTTAAGTTGATTACATATTATGTAAAATAATTATGCATGATTATTATGTAAAAATAAAATCGAATGTATCGAGAAATGTAACAACTGCTAGCAAACCTGTATAATAAAAATAAAATAATGATTACCCTCCTTTGCGTCGCACATTCGGGTAAAAAAGTTTTATATCAACTACAAAGTGTTTAACTAAAACTTGATCACATACATACTTAGTTAAAATATACATAAGTACGTTAATAAAATGTACTAATGCCTCTATTGTCTGAAAACAATATAATTTTTAAGGTATATTTCACATTAAAAACCTCATGTACAGGGCCGAATTAACCATGTCGGGGGGCCTTAGGCAATGCAATTCTAGGAGCCCCTTCACCCTTTTCTAACTTATTGAAATACATTTTTTCTACCACAATGCAATTATATTCGTAATTGTTACGCTATAATGTACATTTTATAAAAATCTAACTGATGCATTTGTCCTCATGGTGGATTTCACCTACGAGTATTTTTTTAATTTTTCAAATTAAATTATTACTCGATGAAACATTTTCAATTTTTTTCTCGGTGCGTGGGCCCCTAATCAATGGGGGGCTTATAGGCAGTTGCCTAAACTGCCTTATGGATAATCCGGCCCTGCTCATGTATGTATGACGTTCAAAACAAATGAAATAAGATGAAAATACACAACAGATTTACCGAAACAGAACCCAGTGGCCAATTAAATGTAACAGATTTGAACACGTTCGTGGCTGTATTGCGGACACGATCCGCCAAATTCGACCACAGATAGTAGAAATTCATGTTGTTTTTGCAACTGTTAGATTTGTATTGATGTATATACTATGTACCTTAGTTTATAAGGAATACTATAGACTTAGAGCGCTTCGCTCAGATGTATAGAAGACCGTTTTTATTTAAAAAAAAAGCGGCTCACTCTCGCTTCGCTCGGGTTCGTCCCAAGGTACGTTTTAAATAAATATTAGCCAGCGTTAGGCTTTTAATAATCTAAAAAAACGTGATTTTTTGTTGTTCTAATAGTTATTCTGCTATTCGGTGTGGAGACAAATCCAACAAATCAAAGATTATAGAAACCGGTCCCGCCGTTCTTGAGTTATGAATGGTGTAACTAACCTGACTTTGTTTTATATATATAGATATTATATTACAATGCCTCCTTCGGGCAAGTTTTATTACTAGCAGTACCTACAGCCTAAATGCTAGTTCAGGTGATAGTCTATTTATGTATTAATACAAATCCGTCAAGACGTTTCAGCGTAAAGGAGCAACAAACAAACATACATGCATACAAACTTTCGAATTTATAATATTAGTAGGTATGATTTTATTTTGTGTTTGTCTGTATGATTTTTTACCTTAGTACATACTTGGCTTTGGCTTCAATTTTGGATTGGCTTTCACTTCTTTTGAATGAAAGAGTAATTTCTTATACTCGTATTCAAAAGAAATGAAAGTCGTAACGCTAACTTTGTGACTTGCCATCAACTCCAGTTTTTTTTTAAATTAACGACTTTAATTATAGATATTTTGACGATTATTTCTTACTAATAATACCAATGTTTATAGAAAAAAGTAGCAAATTAGCGCTATTAGCGCAAAATAATAGCGATAATAAAGCTTTCTATAATATAGTAAAGGATTTTCAGTATCGTTTCAAGAGCTCGAAAGATTATGTTGCAGATCAAAAGTCATCACTCTACCTTCTTAATTATAAGTAGTTGTAAGTCGTATTTAAGGATTCCAAAATTATTATTAAGTTTATTTTTATAAGACACGATCGATACACTCTATATTGTAAATGATGAATAGGTATATCAATACTCTTATATTATATAAAGAGGAAGGATTTTTTTTATTTGTTTGTACCGAATAAGCGCCGAAACTACTGAACCGATTTAGATGAAATTTGGTAAGAAGGTAGTTTTAGACCCTGGAAAAGAAATAGGTTTTTTATCCAGGAAATCATATCTTAAGGGGTTGAAAATGGGGATGAAAGTTTGTATGGGGAAGCAATCTACGGACGAAGCGAAGATAAGCCCCTAGTCACGTCTAAATGGAAAATTCGTCGATATTAACGTAAATTGGACCGCGTCATAGTGCACACTTTTGTCATATAATATATACTAAAAAATACTCTTAATTCTTACAACTGAATACTTACATCATATTTACATATAGGTATACATAAAATCTCCGGTTTGTTATGATTATCATCTTTTTGGGTTTTTTAACGGATTTATTTTGATTTTTTGTTCCAGACGTGTCGTATGCTTTACAGCAATGATGGCCACGAAAGAGACAAAACGAAATAAATTCGCAAAAAAACCGAAAAGGTAGTTTCATTTAAAATATCAAATTCGCGTAAATCTAATGAATATAACGAAATATAATATAGTTTTTCAAATAGCTATTTAAAAAAAAATTATATTTAAATAGCTTTATATTTTTAGATAAGTTTATCAATAAGTAAGCATTTTAATGGGACTATTGTGAAAAGTTACTGTGAGTGTAATGAACTGAGATCAATCGTCTTGAATATAGCTTATTCAACTTCTAACAAAATTAGCCATTTCCCTCGGCTTCGTTATTCTAACTTCGTATTCCCAATTTCCAAATTCTATATTCCGTACTCACAGGAATAATATAGACGAGTGTCATAGAACTAAATATGAAGCCAAACAATAATATTTTAAAATAGTATACAAATAAATAATAATAATAATAAATATGTCAGGACATTAACACACAGCACCATCTAGTTCCATGGTACGCTACGAGGCTTGTGTTATGGATACCAGATAGTTGATAGACTATACATATATAACTTTAAATACTTACATATTATAAAAAAAGACATTTGTATATCATAAAGTAATAAATGGTAATAAATAAAAATAGCTAACGAATTTTATTATAATATAGAGTGAGATTTAAATAGGAGGAGGAAAAAATACAAAATAACCTATTAGTACCTATTATTAATATTTTATTCTCAAAAATTGTACTTTAATTTAACTAATACATATAAAAAAATTCTCTTATTCTATAAAGTAAACGTTTTGTATGACAAAATCGAGAATAGTAGCGTAAACAGCAAATCACGCTACCATTTTTGGCTTTGACATTTATTTTACCGGACTCCGTCTATAGAATTCTTTAGTCTGAGATTTAGTATTATATTCTAAGGCCTAAGCTTTATACAACACTATTAAATGAGTATTGCACGTCATGTAAGACAATAAATTATTATCTATACGTAATATTATAAAGAGGAAAGATTTTTTGTTTGTTTGTTTATACCGAATAGGCTTTGAAACTACTGAACCGATTTAGATAAAATTTGGTAAGAAGATAGTTTTTTTTGATTGAGACCTTTATGTCCTTTATAGGATAGTTTTTATCCCAGAAATCATCCCTTAAGAGGGTGAAAATGTTGATGAAAGTTTGTATGGGGAAGCTACCTAGAGACGAACCTGAGCGAAGAGAGGTTGAGTCGCTAGTATTTAAAAAACACATGTTAGTTAAATGAAAACACTTTAAAAGATATGAAAATGATTATATGTTCTTTGATTATTATTGATTTGTGATCACTAAAAATAATCCAAAAAACATCCTGCTTAAAAAACAAACTTAATAAATGGGAACAAGTTTATGAAGGAACATGATACTATGTAATTAAAAACATACAGGTCCTCCTTCATTTATCATTTAGATATATATGTTATGTTACTATGTCAACTTGTTTTCATAGTTTAAGTTCGTTTTTTAAGCAGTCCGGTTCTTTAATTAGTTTTTTGTTTACAACTTTATAGTTTTAATCAGTCAAGCCGAGTTTTCAACCGACTTCAAAAAGGAGGAGGTTCTCAATTCGACTGTATGTTTTTTTTATGTTTGTTACCTCAGAACTTCCTCATTTGTTAACCGATTTGGACAATTTTTGTTTTGTTTGAAAGGGTATACTTCCAGATTGGTCCCATTTAAATTTCAAAAAAAAATACCACCCCTAAGGGTGGAAAAACAACTAATGATGAATTTAACCTACTTCTAATTGTCATATTGACTTGAAACTTTGCAAGTATTTCTATTTTCGTTGATAGTACAGTGGTTCGGTGTTGTTGACCTGATCTGATGGCAAGGCTAGAAGGTGGATAGGTGGAACTCTTCAACGGCTAATAGTAGATACTTTGAGTTTGGGCTTATTTTGTTTGATTTGACAAGCCTTACACGTTAGAATCCTTACTTTGCTACTACTGTCTACACTAAAAAGGGAAAAATAAAAACTTTTTAACAAAAAAATAAAAACCGACTTCAAAAAAAAAGCACTAAAAAGTAAAAAATAACTGATTGGTAGTTTTCATTTACTATACATACCTAATCAAATATTTTCGAAGTCGGTGTGCTTTGGCTAAGTAATTAAAGCCTACCTATTAAATACATACCTAATCAAATATTTTCGAAATCGGTGCCAGCCCATACAAAGCACACCGACTTCGAAAATATTTGATTAGGTATGTATAGTAAATGAAAACTACCAATCAGTTATTTTTTACTTTTTAGTGCTTTTTTTTGAAGTCGGTTTTTATTTTTTTGTTAAAAAGTTTTTATATATTACCCAATATGTTAACTTTAATTATATTTCAATATATTAGGTGTTTTTATTTTTGTTAACATATCTAAAGACCTTCATTTTGATCCACACGAAGGCTTGGATTTTTTTAAGACACGTAAATTGACGCCTAAGATCCTGCATTTGGTTTTTTAATGATACCCTATGATACTCGCGTTATCAAGAAAACCTAACGACGCGACGTATGAATCATCGAAATCGCTTAAGCCGTTTAGTAATTACGAGGGAGCTTGGGATTGGATATACATACATATGTACATAGAGGTCAAACACATAACTCTCTTTTGGGCTTTGCCGCAGACGGGTACAGACTAAATAACATTATTAATTAATAATTTTTTTTAAAGATTGTAATAATTATAATAATAACAGCTAAAATGAAATAAATAATATTGCCATATTTAATAATAATACTTTTTTTAAATGTTTATAATTAAAATCAACATTTATTGTATGGTATTTTCGTGCCAATCTTGAATTTTTGAAATCATTTTGTAAAATTGTGGACAGGCACTGTCTGTAACCAGTATAATAATAACGCCTTCAATACGTCTAAAACCTTAGCCTTTCCTGTGACCATGATTGCTGTAAAGCATTCGAAACGTCGGGAACCAAAACTAAAGTAAAACTTTTTTTTAAATAAAACTATCTTTTCGGATTATTTCGCGGATTTATTTTGATTTTTGGTTCCCGACGTTTGGAATGCTTTACAGCAATCATGGTCACGGGAGAGACTAAGGTTATAGACGTCTCAAACACACTGTTTGTAACAAGCATTGTAAGAGTTTGATTTTTTGGTTATCTGAGCGCGGGCGGAGCCGCGGGCAATGCTAGTATAATCTAAAACATTAAAAATACTTTCCTAAATATACACGAATATTTCAAATTTGAAATAAAATTATCTTTTCGAATTTATTTTGATTTAGTTCCCGATGTTTCAAAAAAAACCGAAAAATATAGTTTTATTTAAAACATTTATAAAAAAAACTTAACCTTCCAATGAATATTTTACCTTAATTTAAATATAGGTATATTAAGTAATAAAATTAAACTTGTTATTCAAAGATTCAATGATTATACTAATTAATACAAAAAAATATTACCATAAAACTTTGATATTATTAATATTAGATAGCCACATTGGATGTGAAACAGGAAAAAATATAAGGAAAGTAACGAGGGTCAACTAGTATGTGCTACGCTTTAAGTTAGGTCGTCTGCGCGTGCGCAACTCCACTCTTCAGTAACCGCGCAACCCGCGCTGAAGAAACACTGTGTTATAGTTTGGTTTAAAATTATTTTATTCAAAATAAGGAAATACCAAAACAAACGTAAGTTCCTTTTTGTAATTCTTTATTATAATATAAAAATTAAATCACTTTTAGAATGAAAATTAATCGGAAATCTATACAGAATTGTATATTTTTGTCTTTTTGTGGTAAGATTTTATTTTAAGTATTTATCACTTAAAACTGTCATGACGTAATATGGCACAAATCTTAAAAGTGCTCGGCCTTGATTTTATTAGACCTATTGGTCGTATTTTTAACGTATCAAAATGAATGTATATATAACCAATATAAATATTTGCTTCGAGCAAGACTCGAATACGCGACCACTGTCTTGCATAAAGAGCTTTAATCACGCATACTTAATTAATAAGGTTCGAATAATTTGAAGCGTTATAGTTGTGTAGCTAGTCCACCAACCCGCTTTTGGCCAGCGTGGTGGACTATGGCTTGATCCCCCTCGTATTGAAAGGAGACCCGTGCCCAGCAGTGGGACGTTAAAAAGGGTTAAAAATAATTTGAGTAGCACCATAATTCATATCGAGTCATTTCTATTACTACTTCTCTACATCCTCCTCTTAAGTTCTTAGGGATGATTTCACAAATATACCGGAAATCAGGTAAATTTCTAAGAAATTAAGTAAATTTCTAAGATATTAATTAAATTTCTAAGAAATTAATTAAATTCCAGAAATTAATTAAATTTCTAAGAAATATATTGTTAGCTGTAACACCGGTGTGCCCGCGGTCGTTGAGGGATTTACCCCCTAGGGGTTCCTTACTTCCTTCCCTTGTAACCTTAGTACAGTTTTTAAACTGTAACCCTACAATTTATTTTACACTAACTCTATTTGAGATACCTAGTAGGTTGCGATTGTTTTCATAAATAAATATTTTAGCTAAACATGTATATTTTTAATAATATCTTTTAATTCCTATCTTGGTAAACAAAAGACCCATCGTAAGAATTTTCAAAGATTTTCTCATATCACAAACTATAGCGGAAATATAACTGTATTGCCCCAAATTAAATTGGGGCTAAAGAAAGTATTTGAAAATAGTTTATTATTTAATTTTATTTTATTTATTATTATCAATCTATACATATAATAAAATTGTAACTAAGCCGAATTTGTACATTAGAAATTTTTTGGAAAATCTTATAGAAATAAACATCATTATCGATACAGAGGCCGAATCTATAGTTTTTAGAATTTTTATCTGTCTGTTACCGCATCACAGAAAAAGGTATTTTGATGAAATTTGGTATGGTGATAGCTGGTTATCCGGGTCAACATATAGGATACTTTTTACCGCGGGAAAATATCTCATTTCTGAAAAAAAATATAAAAACTGCAATGTAAGAGTATACTAATATGTAAGACGTAAGAATTTGGTTTTTGGTTATCTGAACGCGGGCGGAGCCGCGGACAATGCTAGTATAATATAATCGTATAATTTTATATTCAGTTACATATCGTATCTTATTATTTTTCATAATTTGACTTCAGCACAGCGACTCTAACGGTGGTTTTGGTCACAGAACCTCAAAAAGTACACTCCTTAACTGAATGTTTACTGTGGTACAAGTAAACATACTAGCGACTCACCCTCAATTCGTTTCGGTTTCGTCCCTAGATAAAAATAAATCTATTCCACTGGAACCGTAGATTTTTTTCGGGATGATATATAGCCTTCCTTTATAAGAGTTATCTAATGCAAAAAGAATTTTTCAAATCGGATTAGTAGTTCCTGAGATTAGCGCGATCTACTCTACCTCTTTATAATATCAGTATAGATCTCACATATAATATCAGGATAAATTTCTCAAAGAAAATGTGTCACACCAAAAGAAGTAGCAGACTATCGCTCGAGTTTGGTAAAAAAAATCAAGCGAAATCAAATTGCGAAACTTGGTATTTGTTTGTATTTACAATTGTCACGCTAACGTTATTTACGCGTAACAGCTGATCGAATTTCAATGAAATTAATGAAAAGAAATCTCTATAAAAAGATAGGTTTCATATAAACTTTTATCCCCTATTTTACCCCCTTATGGGATGAATTTTAAAAAATGTTAAAACACGTCTTCATTTAATTGTATTGAAGAGCATTAACACCAAATTTCAAGTAATTCTGATCATTAATATATTTTTGGATTGTATTATAACGTGTTATCCCGTGGGAATAAGTTAACCTTCCGCGGTAAAAATGCCTATGTCGCTCTTTAGCCTTCCAACTATCTCCATACAAAACATCACACCAATCCGCCGAGCCGTTTCGACGTGAAAGAAAAACAAACAAACAAACAAACAAACAAACAAACAAAGACACTTTCACATTTATAATATTAGTATGGATAAGCTATTTTATGTTTAGTTATATTTTCCAAAAAAATTACTACCTTCTTTATGTATAATATATGTATTTTTATAAGAAGAAGAAAGATATTAGAAATATATAAAAATATCTGATGTTGTACCAAAATTGTTGTCGTAAATACGAGTATACTCATTGAATTTATAAAGTTTTCTTTGACGTCAACTTCTTTCGAACACAAGTTACGGGCGCGATGAGGAAAATCGAAAATAATTGGCGTGTCTTAGATACATTAAATATATGTATGTACTAACACGTAACACGTATATATAAAACCGCAATAAAATCATGGTAAAACATAATAAGCTAAATGATGCAATACTTTTCTTTAATATAATATGTTGAGACATTAACACACAGCACCATCTAGTTCCATGGTAAGCTACGAGGCTTGTGTTATAGATACCAGACAGTTGATACACTACAAATATATAATTTTAAATACATATTATAGATACACATGACTGGAGTACAAACATTCGCGCTCATCACACAAATATTCATTTGCCACCAGTGGGATCCGAACCCACAACTACTGGCACAGCAAGCAACTAACTGAGCCAAACGTGTCGTTTTAATTTTCAACATTTAATTTAGTTAACTAAAATTCTGGTAAATTTAAAGCGAAATAAATAAACAATTGAATTTTTGACGATCGGTTTTAAATTTGTTCTTACTCTCATTTGAATATAAAAACCATGTGTAAATGTTAAAATTCTGTTTTTGGATTTTTTCTATTACTTTTTGGGATTAACAAATATACATACAATCGTACATCTACGTATATAGCATACATACTACATATTTTACTAGCAACTAGGTAGATTTCAATGTTTTTGAACGGAACCCTAATTCTTTTTTTAATTAAAAGTAGCCTATGATACTCCTTATAGCTTAACTGAAGGTCGATACCGAGGCCGTCTTATACTCTTGACACAGAACACACTGTTTATGAGAAAATCAGAAAAAGCCATGAAATTTCATCTATATAAACAGATCCAATGAGTCTTTTTTATCTACTTCTAATTGTCACATAGACTCAACCTTGCAATTGTTTGAATTTCCGTTCAGTTCCGTACAGTTTTTCCTGTATAGATAAGTAAATTCTATTCATATGTGTTTTCCTCTTTTCAATAATGATTTCGATTTTCGACCACTAGATGAACACGAGTTATTATGTATACTATTAATAACTAGCGGCTCACCCTCGCTTCGCTCGGGTTCACCTCTAGAAAAACACTAATAAAAATCTATTAGTTCCCACGGGAACCGTTCATTTTTCCCGGATGAAAAGTAACCGGTTGTTTGACCGGCAATGTAAGGTATCAGAATGTTAAATTTTACTAAATTAGGTGCATAAGTTGTATAAGTTATAATAGTTTTTTAACTATCCCACGAGAACCATTATATTTTCCGAGATAAAAAATATCTAAGACGTTGTCCGGGGATATAAGGTACCACCATGCAAAATTTCATTTAAATCGGTCCAATAGATTCGGAGATTAGCCCGTACAAACAGACAAACAGACAAACAATATCACACGGGAACGCAGTCGAACGGGATAAAAAGTATCCTATGTCCGTCTCTGGGTTCTAAGCTACCTCCCCGCCAATTTTCAGCCAAATCGGTTCAGCCGTTCTGGAGTTATAAATAGTATAACTAACACGACTTTCTTTTATATATATAGATAGATATCTATACCTACTAATATTATAGAGGTAGAGAAGAAGAGGTAAAGGTTGTGAGTTTGCGACGTTGTAGAGGGTAATTTCTGGATCTACTGAACCGATTTAGATGAAATTTGGTAAGAACATAGTTGGAGAATCCGGGAAGGACATAGGATACTTTTTATCCCGGAAATCATCACTTAAGGGGGTGAAAATGCGAATGGAAACTTGTATTGGGAAGATTATTTTTTTGTGTGTTACTATTTTTTTATTAGAGCTGCCCCTATTGTTTTAATTAAAGTTATATATTTTCATCCTTAATTAAAACTTACCAAGAAATTTTATGAAACCGGCTCTTCAGGGTCATACAAGAAGGTGACTTTCTAAAAAAAATTTATATCGTTAGCCAAAATAATGAAGATAACATATGTTCTTTTATAATAGACATTTGAATAAATTTTGTTTTTACACGATATTTGAATGTAAATGACCTAAATTTTTCTTTTGAACTTTATTTTTTAATATGTAAAACATTAATTATAATTTATATTAAGTACCTCCACCACTTTTAAAAAAAAATACAATAATAATATTTTTCGCATCACTTATCTTCCCCAAACAAGCTAAATCTAAATATAGAGAAACTTTAGTCAATTTGATTTACATATATAACTTTTGTAACGCCAATTTGAATTAAAGAGCGTGAGTTCAGTTCGTAAAGAGTTTTGCTGAAAGGTAGCTCAATAACAGCATAAAATTAGTAAAATATATAAAAATTTGCAAATGAATCAATTCGTTTTTTTTTAAGTCAGCTAAAAATATATGTTAATTTTTACATAGTAACAGAAAAGAACTTTCTAATTGCCCATCGTTAGGTGGACGATTATTGTGTTTTAATTTAACACTATTAACCTTAATAATATGTTGGCTGGTGGTCATAACGTCCTATATTTTAGGGAACGAGTTATTATAATTATTTCAAAACTAGCATTGCC